TGTTATACCTTCTTTTCCTGCATTTGACTTGTTTGTTTGTTTTACTTTATTAAAATACTGAGTTTATTTCACATGTATATTTTTGTCTCCCCACCATTTCCATGTCTGACCACTACTACCACTGTGTCCTATCATAACATTCCATACATCCTTAAAACCAAGCAAAGGGTGCAGTTCCATCTTTAAAAACTAAACAGGCATTTTGGACAACACATTCTTGGCAATAGAACCTGGACAACATTTATCAAACACGGTAGGGAAAATTCTCACTCTGCATTATAAAAAGGACAGCCAGATATCAACTGTTACAGAAATGAAATAAGACGGACAATTTTAACAAACTGTTTAAACTATTTTCTTAAAGAGACTTCCTCCACTGCCAGAGATCTTGACTTTAATGTCTTCTACAGAACTAGGTCCTTTTGGTGTTTTAGGTGTTTTTTCCTGTTTTTTTGAATGATTCTTGACCTTTTGATCTTGGTGTTGATGGTTTTGAGTCTTTTCCATTCTGGTTTGATTTTTGAGCATTTTTGCCAGGAGTATCTCGTATAGATTTCTTCACTGGAGCTTTTTCTTCTGTTTCCTCATCTTCAAAATCATCATCATCATCATCTTCATCATCATCATCTCCATCGTCATCATCTTCGTCAGCAGCAAGTTTTACTTTTTTCTGTGGAACCTTGCTTCCACCTCCAGGGGTAGATCGCTTTCCAGGTATACTTAAGAGTTTCACATCCTCTTCCTTTTCTTCTTCTGACTCTGCATCTTCCTCCACAGCTACTAAGTGCTGTCCACTAATATGCACAGGCCCTGAACCACACTTCAACCTTAAGACCACAGGTGGTGTTATTTCAAAGCCCCCAAGGGAAACCATTGGCTGTACAGACATTTTCAGTGTTGCCAGTGTTACTTTAATTGGACTGCCTTCATAATTCATTGCTTCTGCTTCAACAATGTTTAATTCATCCTTTGCACCGGCCCCTAAACTAACCGTTCTTAAAGATAACTGCTGTTCATTTTCATCATTATCCACTTTAAAGTGAAAATCTTTGTCGGCCTTTAGTTCACAACCGAAAAGAGAGTTCTGGGGCCTCAGGGGGCTCATGTCCATGTCCATCAAATCTTTCATGGGGTGGTGGCACGCACTTGGGTGGGCAAGAAGGCGGATGGAGGTAAATGGCTATGGCTACCGAAAACAGCCACGCAGGATGGAATCACTCCAGGGCTTGACTTATTTGTTTTTATTGCAAACATAGGCCCTTCATTTTCTTTTGCATCTACAAAACAGAGAACTTAGCAAAGTCACACAGGAAGAGCCTTAATAAATGTTTTCTGATTGCACTGAGTTGTCTGTTTTGTGAGAGATTAAGAAAATTTGAAAGATGAGATGAAAGCTATATTTATAAAAAGAGACTGAGGCCCAGCCTTGGTGGGATGCACAATTAAGATGTTGCAGGCTGGGAATATATAGGAGTGCCAGCTTCAATTTCCAGTCCAACATATAGGCCTGTGCGGTGGGGCATGTCTATAATCCCAGGATTTTGGAGAGGCTGAGGCAAGAGGATCACAAGCTTTTAGGCTGGTTTAAGCAACACAGCAGACCCCTTCTGAAGGTCATGTGAGGTGGCACATATCTAGTCCTAGTTGGGAGTCTGAGGCAAGAGAATCATGACATAGCAAAATGAAGTCTTAAAAAAAAAGGAATAAATTGGTGAAACATGCATAAATCTATATTAAAATGATGAATGATGCACTCTTCAGAGTCAACTCCTAAGAGTATATCTGAAAGATGTTTTATAAACTAATTACTCAGGGAAGATATTTTTAAGACTAGTAAAAATATATTATCATGTTCTCCACTGGGACAGAAAATAAGGTGAAGTTGCATGGCACCCCTCTTATAGATTCATACAAGAAGAAGTGTTGTGTAAATCCTATGAAGCTTCCTAGAGACCCTATAGAGAGCAAGTTGCATGGTGACACAGTTACAGTATGACAATATTCAAAGCTGACCCATGGGAAGGCTCCAGGTCCCAGTGCAAAGACCTCTCTAAAAATGCTGGCAGACCTTGATCCAGCATGGTGTGGATTGTAGCATGAAGTTACCTCCCTCTCCCCATAACTCACAAAAGAAAAAAGGAAATTTACAAAAAGCCAATAACCCTAAGAGGAATTTCTTTTCATATGGACATATAAGCTCTGATTTATTTAATTGGTATGTGATTTATGTGTTTTTTTTTAACTTTATTTAACTTTCATTTATTTATTTATTTTTAAATTTGACTAGAAAGAGACAGAGAGGGAGAGAGAGAAAGTGAGAAAGCAAGCTGCCAGGTCTGGGACCCAAACCATGGTTGGCCACTGGGGAATCCAGTACCTTTAATCACCACACCACCTGCTTGTGATTTATGTGTAGGAAATGGGTACATTATCTCTCTTCAAATAGTTTTAAATTGCCTTATCTTCCATAAATAATCCATAACTCTCCCATAATCCTAATTAAATATAGTATATAGGTATAGTTTTCTACTTATATTTATTACAACAAAAGTACAAATTTCCTTTATCTTACAGGATTTATACTCTATACAAATTTTATAGCTTATAATTTACAATAGTTTTGTCAATTGAATTCTCTTTCTAAGTCATCTTTAAAATGACTCATTTCATTTTTAAAGTAAATCATAAAGCCTTATATTAGTGAACTGTAGTTCAGAATTCTTTTACATTGAGGCATTAATAATATATGTAATAACATATCAGATATGAATTAATTTAAGCACATTTTTCTTTCCAAAATCTTATATTTGATGTTTTACTACTACAGTATTCATTCTATCTCCCTTCTTT